TTGATTAAAAGTTGGGTACTTCAGTGAAAAATCTAAACCATTAGCCAGAACATGAGCAGAATTTTATTTTTTTCACAAAAAATGAATAAAAGTTAATTATATTTGTATCTTCAAATCTTAGAATAAAATTTATATTTATAGATATTTTGACATGTTACTCATGTTCATGTTTAATAGTAATGAATGTAATGTAAAGTGGAACTTCAAATAAGTAAAACAGAAATCTTTGCGTCACTGTATTTGCAACAAATACGTCGCTGAAATACATTCGCCGACCACATAAAATTGCTTCGGGGGCTGCCAGTTTGAAATCACTGTTATAGTCAAGTCAAGAGTGTGCGCAATGCCATTTTTGTGCAATTCTGGGACTTTTCTTAAGTGAAAATAGGTCGACGTGTACATGGATGATACCGTGTATGTGCAATTCTTGAAAACGCGGCAAGCAGTGGGCGATTCTGCACTTTCTCTCAATTTCGCACCTAATATTCGTCATGATTAAGCACTTTTGTTCCATAAAAGTTCTAGCATAAGCGTAATTCGGCTAGCACATTGTTGGAAAAAAATGTTGAATTTTAAAAAAAAAGCCTTTACTTTGTGAAAACAAAATAGCTTCCAAAAAAAAAAAAAAAACTAGCAGGGTTGGTTGCCAAATTTTCGCCAAGTTACCATAATCCAAAGATTAACTAATTAACCATATCCTATTCTATACAATCGGTCTCTATCCGAAATTTAAACAACTGCATAACATCGTGAAAAGGCATAGCAGCACGTGTTACAAATCTTATTTCCCTGCAGTTATGCAATTCAAGATTATATTTCTTTGTTTACCTACATGAAAGCTATCTTTGCACTTAAACACGAAAAAAATGAATAAAAATAACCTTCTTAATCTTGTTAAGCAAAATTATGTGCATAAAAGAATCTGGAATGTCCAATATAAACCGGACTGGCTGATAATTGAATAGCGGTTAGAGTTGACTTTAGGGTAATCCTTGTATTATCGGGAATTTGTTTTGTTTATCGCCGCCAAGTTGTTTCGTTTATGGTAACCCGAGTATTTGAATGTTACGGAAACCCTATTATGACATAATCGTTAGCATTATTCCAGGAAATTTTGAATTATGGGATGTTTTGTAAGGGCTTTTGTGGTGTGTGTTGTTAGGAAGTACACTGCTTGTTTCATTGTTTAGAGAGTAGAATAGCTGAATGTAGTAAGATTAATTTGAAGTTTCTGTATGATCTGGAACAAAAGGAGAAAATTGCACTAACTGACTGGTGTGTAAATGAAGGTTTACTTAGTAGCCATTTTCCGGACAGTCCGGAACTATGTACGATATTTCAGTGAATTTATGTGGCAAAGCCGATACAGTACAAAGTCTGTAATCCGGAATGATCTCTAATCCGGATGTCAAAGCCATAAACTTACGCATGCGCGTTTAGCACAAAAAACGAAGGAACTTAAACAACTTATATTAAAAGAAATGTTTAATAAAGTAAACAAATAAAAATTAAGCTTTTTTTTTTTTTTTTTTTTTTTTTTTTGTAAATTTTGATACAGTTTAGATTATATTTGCTCTTTATTTCATAAATTATGGTTTCATATTTTTAATTATATAATGTCTGTATGCTATCTTACCAGATTTAAATTGATAATCTATAATCCGGAAAAACCCTTAATTTGGAATCGCCTAAGTCCCAACGAGTCCGGATTACGGACTTTGTACTGTATACGGATTCGAGTTCAGATAATATTATGAAGCTTTTGGATGCTGTTAAGGAATTTTGTGTGCCACAGACTGAAGATGAAGGAATTTCTAAATAAGGTAAGTGGATATTTGCTTTGTGTAGTGCTTATATGCATAACAGGTTTTTCCTTATGTTATTTTGTTTGGTTTAAAATGTAGTTTATTGAGATTACGCAATTTTTTGTCTGCCTCTACTGTAGAATTGAGTGCTCCTTTCACTTTTTAAGTGAAAATATATCAATGTGTACATGGACAAACTCGAGGGAGTGTGCAATGCCATTTTTGTGCAATTCTGGGAAATTGTTTTTAAGTGAAAATAGGTCGATGTGTACATGGATACCAAGTTTTTGTAATTCCTTGCCTTGTTATTTTGGCTTTGTGTAGAGGCGATTTTTGGCGCAAAAATCCCCGCTACGCAAGCCAAAATTAAAAGTCAAAGAATTGCACAAACTCGGTATCCATGTACCACCAAAAATCGTCAAGGTGTAGCCTTAAGTATACTTTTACCTGAATACATTTTAGGAATGTAATATTGTTGTGAAAATACATACATATTTTATTTTTTCGAACTTTCCTCTTTAAGTATGTGATATATATTGCATTTTTGTGATCGCTGCTGCATTTATATAAAGAACATGTTTTCAAAGATATATATCCATTATTACTGACAATTGTTCAAGAATTAAAAAAAAAGAGAAGTATTAAAGTTAATAATGCTGGAGTTACATATATTATAATCTAAAATAATATAATTATAAGTGCATAGATTTACTCAATCACAATAACTAATCATTTACAGTTTGTTCTATCAGTACGGTTTATCTTCTCAATGCAAATGCTACACTTTGCCTTACGTGGTTTTCGTCTAGTAGAGCTTTTCCTCTGATATTAGGCTGAAGAGAGAATTTTTCAGAATGCGCCTTTTGATGCCATTTCCCTCTTGTGGAGAAAAAATTCCTCCCGAGGATGAGGCGATTTTTCGCGATTCAAGATGGCGGAAAAAATTAGGCCAAGGGCCGCGTATCTGAGATTTCCTTTCGATTAGTTTACTTTAGGGTACCCCTTGTATTATCGCGAAGTCGTTGTTTCATTTATGGTAATCTGAGTAATTGAATGTTATGGAAACCTTATTGTGACTTAATCGTTTGCATTATTCTGGAAAATTTTGAATCATGGGATGTTTTGTAATGGCTTTTGTGGTGTGTGTTGGTTAGAAAGTACATTGCTTGTTTCATTGTTTAGATGGTAGAACAGCTGAATGTAGTAAGATTAATTTGAAGTTTCTGTACTATTTGGAACGAAAAGGAAGAGTGCATTAATTGACTGGCATGTAAATGAAGGTTTACTTAGTAGCAATTTTTAGGACAGTGCGGAACTACATAGGATACTTTTTACTCTTATTTTTGTGAATTTATGTGGCGACGCCGATATACGGATTCTAGTTCAGATAATTTTAGAAGTTTTGGGATGCTGTGAAGAAATTTTGTGTGCCACACACTGAAGACGAAGGAATTTCTAAATAAGGTAAGTCGATATTTGCTTTGTGTAGTGCTTAAATGCATAACAGGTTTTAACTTTATATGTTATTTTATTGTTTGGTTTAAAATGTAGTTTATTGAGATTATGTATGTTTTGTTTGCCTGTACTGTAGAATTGGGTGCTCCTTTGACTTTTTAAGTGAAAAATATATCGATGTGTACATGGGCAAACTGAATAGAGTGTGCAATTCTTTGATTTTTGAAGTCAAAATAGGTCGATGTGTACATGGATAAAGTCAAAGGAGCGCACGCCATTTTTGCGCAATTCCGGGATGATTTTTTTAAAAATGAAAATAGGTTGATGTGTACATGGATACCGAGTTTGTGCAATTCTTGTCTTGTTATTTTGGTTTTCTGTAGCGCCTATTCATGTGCCGCCAAAAATCGCCAAGGGGTACCCTTAAATATACTTTTACCTCCCTTTCTAATGATCTTAAGTTTAAGTGCTAAGCATTTTACAGGAAAAAAGAGTAACTGAATTGTGGATATCACATGGACAACACTGCAATCAAATCCGTTGACAGTCAAAATCTAGGGACCATGTTTAGCAAGCCCAATGACTAATTTTCCAGTTTTGGCAAATGACCGAGGTGGCCGCTTGAATTCTGGAGTACCCTTTTGCATTTACTATTAACTGTATTATTAATCAATTTGTATCTGTGCATTGTGCACAGGTAAAATTAAAGTAAGGATTAAATTTAAGCAGAGGTCTTTTATAATCCCTGCATTTATTTTTCTCCTTCAATTAAATGCATAAAAATTGCTTTGAAAGTAATTTAACTGATGAATATACCATTAAATGTATATGTATTTCTACACACACACTTTAAAAATGTGAGCTTTCCTTTTAACAAGAAACAGCAAAAAAAAAAAAAAAAAAAGTTACTACATAAAATAAATTGTAAATTCTGGGGGGGGGAGCAGCTTATGGCATCTGGAAGGTATTTTACAAAACTTAATGTTAGGTTCCAGATAGCAATTCCTATAACAATGAAACCACATACATACTATCAGATCTTGGTTTTTCATATAAATCAATTTGTGAACATGATTTAACCCTCTGTCAGTCCCAGCTGAGATGTATTTCTGCACCAATAGCTATGCAGATGTCCAACAAGTATCCCTAACATATTTTGAAGCTCTTTTTTAAAAACAGAATTTACTTTAGAGTTAAAAAAACAGAATGATAAATACAAAGCTTTCAAATTGCTTAAGTATCTGCAATTTGAAAGCCATGAGAAAGAACAATAGGCAATCTTAAGTGTGATTCAGGGCAGAAATGTTTTTGCGAAAAATTGGCAAGTCACTATTTTATTTCACGGATGCCAATGTTGAATAATCCTCATCGAATACCGCATTGAAAACACTGCGAAAAAAACGTACAGTTTGTTTAGTGAACCAAGAACCTGGGAAGAACTACCAACATTCCAGTTCTTTAGCCATACTCCACTATAAACTGAATATACCAGTTGAATGCACAACAGGAATATCAATGCAATAATTCAACAATAATCACACCAATTTAAAATAACAGAATAATAAAAAAATGGTAAATGAGATAAAAACCTCTTGTCAGCACTTTACATACTTACTACTTGAGAAGTCACAAAAAGGGGGGGGGACAATATGCTAACAGCATGTACTATAGGCAATACAACATTGCATGCTATATTAATAAACACTTTAAACAACTAAGAATACTTCTGAGTACACATACACGTGCTGCAACAATCAGCATGTTTCCATTTCAGACAACAGCGTTAAACAAAGCAGTGAAACAGTTCAGTATTAAAATGCGTTGTTTAAGCTGATCAGCATATATAACTAGCAATTTTAATCACCTCACACTCCTTAAAACACGGCACATTCATGTCAGTAAACCGGCGTGTATTAACTGCGAAGTGGCTTAAAGAACACAAACAACAACAAACTAACGGTTAAGAGTTTCTAACCGACGCTTTCGGCTGCATACTTTCTTTACGCGCTTTTATAAAATTTGTTTTTTACCCACGCAATTTTTATTTCTACATTTAATTTTGTTGTTCATTTTGAGGCACAATGAACTCCTATAAATCGTTACATATGTAACAAAATGGCAGAACATTCTTTCATTATAAAATATTTTTTTACGATTGGACAGACTCCTGAAAAATTTATATAGATAAATGCATGATTTACTACAATAAACGCTCTGAAAGCATTATAATATTTTTTATTCAAATGACGAGCACTTGCCTATTCAACACTGGCCATTCCTAAGGCCAGAAGTGTTGGATATTTTACTGTGAAGGCGCCTAATAGGCGCCCACTGTTGCTTCTTATGAAGGGGGACAGACAGTTACAATCATGCCTTCTCCCGGATTCGAATCCGGGCCCTTTGGTACTGTAATAGGTTTCTCTCACCACTATAGCATCTGGGCAGCGCATTACAATATATACGAAATAGTTTCTCCAAACTGAGTTCTAATGAAGGTCTTCAGTCAACGTCAAATAATTTTTAAAGAGAAGTAAAGCTTTTTCAAAGCAAATGCAGCATCTAGCTTATTTTAGAGGTGCCATCTATACAAGAAAACCACGGTGTATGAAAAAAGAGGTGCAAATTCACGGCATATAAAGAAGGAGGTGCGTTTTTTTAGAAATGATCCCTTTTTGTAGTTTTCGATGCGAGTAGAAGTAATGTTAGCACCAGAGAACTCCTAGGGCCGTATCCTCCTACCATGCGAAACGTTAAGGCTTTCGCCGATCGAAAGGCTCCTCCTTCGCACCGCCCACATTTTGATGTCAAACGATAGTATAACAACCAATGAGAAGACTTGTTGAAAAATAATCGTAATTTTAATTTTTTTTTTTTTTTTTTTTTTTTTTTTTTTTTTTTTTTTTTTTTTTTTTTTTTTTTATTTTTTTTTTTTTTTTTTTTGGTTTTTGTAAACAGATTCGTAAACAACGTATCTTTTTCCATCTCTGTTTAGAATAAGCCGTCATCCCGGATAACTTCTCGTCAGTTAGAGACATATCTTTCATGGAAAAGCACCATGAAAGATACTATTTCATACACATCACACACATGCATATTTATGTATTACTATTTAGATTGCCGTTATTCATTTCCATCATGACTTTTCTTTCAAGGAAATTAGGATCATTAAATAACTAAATTTAGTGTAATCTTGTTCATTTGAAGCTCTTTAGGCAGTTTTAGGTTTTTTAATCTAAGATGTACAGTTTTTTTTTTTTTTTTTTTTTTTTTTTTTTTGTACAGTTTATCATTCAAGGGAAAAATCTGCCTGATTCATACACAAATTTTTAGTTTAAGTCAGTGAATTTAGATCAGGTTTATACACTTTTTGGTTACTTAATATCTGTATATTTTTAAACAGATCTCAGAATTTAAATTCGATTATTTATAGTTTTCATTAACAGCAATATCTTGCTGAAAATCTGAAGATATATTCCAATAATTTATGTATAATTTGAATGACTAAAAAAATTGAGGCTAAAAATATAACATTTAATTATGAATTCCTTAATTGAAATGCAAGTTTTACATGTAGGGCAACCTTAATAACTCTGTTGTGGGTTGTTTGCTTGATTGCTAGAGACTGAATCTATTTGTAATCAACAAAATGATTCATGTGTTTGGACAAAACAGAAGCAGATGTTCAAGTAATATGTTATTGGAATTCGCAAATGTGAAAAAGACGATGTTATATGAAAATGTACTGAGGAAACAAGAAAATTTTAAATACTGAAGAATTAAAAAATTAGAGTAAGTGTTAGAAGATAAAGTATGTTTCTTAAATACTTTAAAAAATAACTCAAAATGTTTTCAAGGTATATCATTTTAGTTTAGTTCTTTTTCTAGTAAAATAGCTAATATAAGAGACTTATTTCATTTACATATATCTCATTAATATGTTAAAAATATAGCTTAAGTAAGTTTTATGTGCATATGGAAAGGAGGGGAAAAAACGCCTCAAATTAAAGCTTGTTTTAAAGCATTAAGTAAATAAATAAAATACACTGGTTCTATTAACACCTCAAAAAAGTATTGTTATGTACTCTAAAAACAAATCCCAAATATCGCATCATAATACATAAAACGTTCAAAAAAAAAAAAAAGAAAAAGAAAAAGAGAAGAAATATGTAAAGAAATTCTTCTTTAAAAGAAGAAATATGTGATAAGGAATATGCTCTTTTTATTTATTTGATAACAAAGAAGAGTAAAACATATGCAACATCACATTATGAAAAATCTTGGAAGTCTTTACAATACTATAAGACATTGATTAGCAAGGTAAACATCAGGTGAACATTCTTTTACAGTAGCAATAAATTTTTTATTCAAAATTCTTAATACGCCAAAGCAAATTTACGATCGGTGCCTCAGATGTAAGGTCACACAAAAAGTAAATTTGATTTAGCAGACTATGAGAAACTTATGAACTATGTCATTTATGAACAAATTGACTCTCTTCAAAATGTACCAGCAAATTTAACAAAAGCATGCATGAAATTTAACATTAACATTTAAAGCACTAGTATTTAATTACAATTGCAGGTATTAAATGAATTTAATCACGCTTTTAAGAATGCAATTTTCTGGTAAATTTCAATTTTTATATGAAAATAGAACAAAATTAAGAAAAAGTAAGTTTGTAAAGCTACTTAAAACATATTTCCACACAATGAAAACACATTGAAAATAAATTTAAAGTAAATAAATTTATAAAGTAACTTTAGTTAAAAATACAACATGAAGATTTACTACTAGATCAAGCATGATAATGGGATTAAAATGATTTGTCAAATATTTAAATTAATATTTAACTTCTTCAAAATACCTTAAAAATACAGAATATATTTATCTTACTATAAAGAAAAAGCAAAATCATTTATAATTTAGATCATACTATCCAGTTTTTAACATTGACACCAACTAACAAATTTGTCGACAATACATCATAATCAAAACATACAATGTTACTTAAATCACCAATCGTACAGTAGAATTAAATAATAAAAAAAAGTACATCACTTTCCTACGTGCTGTTTACAAAAATAACAATTTTACAAACAGTATAAACTATTCGTGATAATAAAAGGAACAATAACATCACAAACAGTATTAGCAATATTTTACTGCACAACACACACTTCCATAATTGATTTTGTATTTATAAAAATCAGATGATCGTCAATAAGTGGCAGTTTTTGGTGGTCGTATGTGCTTAATGCATGATATAATTAAAGAAAATAAGAGTAGACAATCTCCTATAACAAAAGAATATATTAAGTACTAAATTACAATTTAAATTACATTGCAGAGATCAACACAGAGCTCGGAACACACAGTTCATGCTAGCGTCGCGTACACTTGTCCGACGAGAAGTCTGAGTGAGTAAATGATGTCGCTTTGCTGCTCCGATTAAGAACTGGATTTTACACGTGGCGCCATCTCTCATGAATAGAAGTTGAAGTATCTGTCGGAACGCCACAGTACTCCCCCCCCCAAGTACCATCGGTACGTTATAAGTACTTTGGGTTAAATTTAACCTTTCTTCCAGATCTGGTAGTTTTAGGTTGCTCTTTAACGGGATGTAAGCTTTCTTCCGGGAGTGATGTTGATGAGGAAGTTGTTGGATCTTGCATTAGAAATGCTGGTTTGAGACGATCGATTCCAATCACTGATTGTTTGCCATTGCAGATGATGGTGAAATGTTTCGGTGTTCGTTTGACAACTTTGAATGGACCATCATATGAAGGTGTTAAAGTTGGCTTAATTGCATCGTTGCGCACGAATACGTGCGAAGATGTCTCAAGCGCAGGATGTACAAAATAGCTTGGCTGGTTATGCGAAGATGCTGGGGTTGGCGAGATATTGCTCATGGTCTCACGTAAACGTTGAAGGAATGTTGGAGGGTCGATAACTGGAGTAGATTCTGGGTGAAAGAATTCACCTGGCAGACGGAGGGTTGCACCATATAACATTTCAGCACAAGTGCTACCAATGTCTTCTTTGAATGCTGTGCGAAGACCAAGCAAGACTAGGGGTAAGGCTTCTGTCCAGTGTGTGCTACTGTGGCACTTCAGACCTTGTTTGAGAGATCGGTGAAAGCGTTCCACCATCCCATTTCCAGATGGATGGTATGGTGTTGTGCGAATATGGCGAATGCCAAGAAGAGAGGTGAGGGATGCGAACAAGTGACATTGAAATTGTCGGCCTTGGTCAGTAGTGATGGTGGTAGGCATGCCAAATCTTGAAAGCCACTGGGAGATGAATGCTCGAGCTACAGTTTCAGCGGATATATTTTCAATAGGAATGGCTTCAGGCCATCTTGTGTACCGATCAATACAAGTGAGGAGGTAAGTGTAACCATTTGAAGGAGGCAATGGGCCAACCAAGTCTAAGTGCACATGATCAAAGCGTCTTGCTGGAAGGTTAAATTGTTGAATGGGGCTGTGAGTGTGACGGGATACTTTACACCGTTGACATCTAATACATGAACGAGTCCATTCTGTGATGTCTTGATTCATTGCTGGCCAGACAAATCTGTCTGCGATCAGCTTTTTGGTGGCACGGATTCCAGGATGTGCCAAATTGTGCAAGGCATTAACATTAAACACTTCACGTCTAAAATTGACAGGAATATAGGGACGTATTCTATTGTTCTCTATGTCACAGTAAATTTTAAGCGTTGGATCAATGTGCAGCGGTTGTAACTGAAGGGAGGTTTGTGGATTTGAGATTAGGTTCTTGAGTTCCTCATCATGCAATTGAGCTTTTGCAATTTCAGAGAAATCTGGGGTAGTGAGGTTGATATTGTTTACCCGAGACAAGGCATCAGCGACACAATTATCAGTACCAGAGACATATCTGATATCTGTACTAAACTGGGCGATGAAATCCAGATGTCGAAGCTGACGAG